TAAAACCCAAGCTCCTTAAGGAGACCCAGTCCATGCCCCTGCCGTGTAGGACAGGCTAAGCTGTGGCCTACCACAGCAAATGCTGTGTGCCACATCCACACTGCCCTTTCTCTTCCTCTGGACAGTGTGTTTCTTCTCTGCCTATAGGGCTCACTTTGAAGGCTACCTCCCCAAAGACTTTTCTGATTCTTAAGCAGGTATCTCCTGTTTTTTTTCTATCTCAGCTACTTTTTCTTTCCTCCACTGGACTTACTGCAAGGTACTATTACTTTTATTTGTCCCTGACCCTTTTAGAATGGAGTTCCATGGAGACAGAGGCTACAGCTGTCTTCTCTTCCAACTTATCCCCCTAAACTAGCATCAGACGTAGTAGGCATTCAGTAATTGGTAAACACGAGTAAAGCTGCAGTTTACATATATTATTTATTCTTTACCATAACCATGTGGGGCATTTATCATCCCCATTTTAAAGATGAGGCAGCCAAGAGTCAGAAATATTAAAGGACCTATAGCTTTTAAGTGTAGAAACAAGATTCAGATGCAGGTCAGTACAGAGATGTCTATGCTACTTCAAAGCCAGTGATGCCGCTAACCATCCCACAATGCACGGGAGAGTTTCCCCCGCCTCCATCCAAACAAAGAATTACTCAATCCAAAATGTCCTCACGGTGCATATGAGAAGCCTTGCGAATAAAGGACCCACTTACAGTAGGGTGAAGTTTCCATTGGCTTTAGGAACCAGACACGTAACAAACGAGTCAAGTAGGACAGAGGTAAGGGGAAAAAAACAATAGTTTTCATTATCTGTCTCTTCCGTATTCAGGTTACAATTTTATTATGTTTTGTAGATGACATCTTACCTTGTAACCTTTCGCCACAGGCATGCTTTATTTGCGTGCTTAACATGCATATTCTTCACTTCCGCCAAAGAAAGGACTCCTTCCATTTCTCTTTGAAACACAGAGCCCTCTCCAGTTATCCTTTTCACTACCCTCTTTTGAGAGTAGACATGGGTACAAAGAACTCTAAACAGCCATATCAGACGAAGAATGGCAACTTACAGCCCCAGGTTTGGGAAAACAACAGAGACTAGGAGAAATGGGCAAACTGGGCTGTCTGTGCCCCTGCCTTAAAAGAGGGGAGGGGCACCTGGGTGGCTCCCTCGGTTAAGCATCTGTCTTTGGCTCAGGTCATGATCCCAGGGTTCTGGAATCGAGCCCTGCATTGGGTTCCCTGCTCAGAGGGATCCTGCTTCTCCCTCTCCCTCTGCCTACCACTCTCCCTGCTTGTGCTCTCTCTCTGTGTCAAATGAATAAATAAAATCTTTTTTAAAAATTTAAAAAAATTTTAAAAAATAAAATAAAATAAAAAATAAAAGAGGGGGGCGCCTGGGTGGCTCTGTCAGTTAAGCATCTGCCTTTGGCTCAGGTCATGATCCCAGAGGCCTGAGATCGAGCCCCATATCGGGCTCCCTGCTGTGCTGCTCCCTCTCCATCTCCCCGCTTGCTTGTGTTCCCTCTCTCAATATCTCTGTCATAAATAAATGAAATCTTAAAAATAAATAAATTTAAAATATAAATAAAAGACGGGAAGCAAGGAGCACTTAGTACTAGGGGGTCGCTGATATGTAGGAATGTCAGCCCCGTGATGCTGGCCAGTCTGCTTCTAAGTAGAAGCAGGACATAGGGCTTTAAAATTACTGACACTTCCCTCCACCTAACCTTACCCCAGATTCTGACTTAACTGGTCTGATGTCTGGCTTGGCTATCAGGATTTTTTTGTAAAGCTTCCAGGTGACTCTAGTCCAGTTTTGCTAAGATTGAGAGCCACCAGTCTAATCCAGGCCTCCCATTTTTACTTATACACAACTGAGGCTCAGGGAAGCTAAATGTTTTCCTCAGGCCCCCAACTAGTTTAAAACAGGTATAGAATCAGAAAAGTTATTCTAAGGCAGTGTTTTCAAACCATAAGTTATAATACTATGTCATAAAACTCGAGAGTTAGTAAAAGGCATTTCTTTTTAAAAAATGACAGAATAGGAAATCAGAGTATCCCGCACATTACAGAAGTAAGTATCGGGACACGACACTTGTTTCAAGTATACGCACATTTCTGCGTCTCTAAATCCATTCTCCGCCCTTCTCTGCCTTATTCCGAGGCCTACAGAATGCTTCATCTGGGTCCGTTGCCAGAGGGGTTCCACTTGGTCAGCCAGTGAGGGGCATGAGCGGGAGAGCAGAAGATGGGAGGAGAGGATCTGGGGTCCCTCTTCCTGGGAGATCCTGCTCCCACAGCACAGCCCTCCCCGGGGTCAGCTCCTGATGAAGCACCCCTTCCCCTGGAGGCCCAGAGGCGGTAGCACCTTCTGACTGCTGACAGGCAGGGATGTTTCAGTGTCTTTTATGGGTTACTTAAAACTGTTCACTTCTGAAAAGAGTCCATTTATTAAATCTGTTTCCTACCAGGACACCAACATACCTAAATGGAATATCAGACACGTGCATAAATGTACTGGGTTGTACTTCCAGAAGTGTGAGCAGGTTTAATGTGCACTGTATTGCTTACCGTGAGTTACGGTCAATAACGTTGGAGAAACAGCATCATGGTTTTTCTTTACTATATTGCTGCTCCCCTTGACTGATACAAGGAACTATTAGAGTGACACTTCAAAAAACAAACATTTGAAAAACAATTCTTTATGGCTGTTACCACTAAATAAATAGAAATAAGGTCTAAAAATAGGAAAAACATGTGTGTTTGTTAAGTAGATTTTTTTAACAGTGCTTAACACTGCCCAACAGCAGAAAGGGTCATCGTGGTAGGTAGTGAGTTCATCAGTGCTTAGTACATATGGAAGAGATGAAAGAAACCGAAACCAGAACCTCGAGTCAGTTTCCAACACTTAAGTATGTGTACTCTCAGGGAGCTTCAAGTTTTAAAATTTCTTCCCAAACAGAAATGAAGCCATTTTTGTGATAGCAAAATCCTACACTAAAGACTTGCATGGTGTCAACTCAATTCACACTCATTCTGCAAAGAGCAAAAAGACAGGGAATGAGGAAGCTTTCAAAAATGTCTAAACTCTGCTCCTTCCTGCAGGACCCAAGGGTACAAGGCCAGAGGAAGAACCAAACATCCTATGTCCGTTCATTCTCCAGAATCCGGTAGATGGCCTTTTGTAAATGCAGAAAATCATCCAACCTCCATCCAACGACCAGTGTCCAGAGTACACCCAAAAATGTGAGACAGCTCCTTCCCTGTACCTCTTACCAATACCCAAAGGGGAAGTCAAGTAAAGTGCCACAGTGTTCTATTAATACAAACTGCACTTAGGTATAAGCATTAAATATAATGCTTACTAAATCCAAAGCTAAGCCATCCAATAAAAGATTCAAAGTAAATGCAATTACAAGAAAACTGCATGATTATCCTATGGGTGTTACTGTAACCTCCCTGAAAAATAAGTGGTGCCCTTCCATATTTCACTATGAAGTGGTTAATGTTTACACTAGCCATTCAACAAAAATGCAGCTTCATTCTGTCACAAATCAGTATTATGCATGTGCTTTTATAATAGCAATTAAAACTTGTTAAGGGCTTTAGACACAGAATGCCTTCCCATATATTAACCACCCCCTTTTAGTAGGGGTGGTGATAATCTCAGGTCACAGAGAAGGAAGGGCTCACAGAGGAAATAAATTGAAACTTAAACCAAACCACAACTCTGCACAGGATTTGGAGCTTGTCTCATCCATTGTACCATGCTGCCTCCCCAAGGTGAACTTATCTAACCTGCACACTGGTAAGGTTTTTCAGGCTCGCTACTGAAAAGAGGAGGATTATACTGAAAATACTGAATTTTCTTGGCTTGAATCTACAACACATAAAAGTCTCCAAATAACAGTATCAACCTTTCTGAGCCCATTAAAACACACACACACACACACACACACACACACACACACACGGAGATGACTCTGGCCTTTTATGACTGAGCGGCTTCTAGTGGTGGATGTTATGTCAAGGGAAGCCAAATTGCTGAGTCCTAATCCTTACCCTATATTGAAATCCAAATTGTTTTGGGCCACTAAGGGAATGTGAAAGGATATTTAGGCATAAATCACCAGTAGTTAAATAATGCAGTAGCCAAAGCCCATTAATGATATTATATAGTAAAGGCAGTATTACATTTTACTGGCTTAGAAAAATTAGGCCCATTACCCAAACTGCTACAACTCGCCTTATCGGAATGTCAGTCAGGAAACAAAGGAAACCTAAAGTCGGTCCACAACCTGCGACTGTTTCAACTTTTTTTTTTTTTTTCAGCACATCGCTGCACATCATCCATTTGGTGCATGGCAGCGGAAAAGGAGGGAAGTCCTCCACACCAAATGTTCCCAGGTCAGCAGAGAGGATTAGGGTTCCAGTGCCCAAAACAGAACACAACCTGGAAAGTGACGTGCCGAGAGGAATCACTAAGTACCACCGGCGGTGTTTGTGGCCAAGAAGAAAAAAAGCACGCTAAAATTTAATTATAAGTTTAGCAACTTTCTAGGACAGGGAACGTGCTTCTGCTTTGAGCTCCACGGCATTGCTTCCAACCAAACGCAAACCATCCTCCGGCCACCCGCCGAGATAACGGGAAAGCGGCCGGTCCGCGCCAATCAGCTGCGCCCAAGTCTCGTTAGCGCAGACCTGTCAGTTAGCCGCCAGGCCGGGCAGCTGTTGATCTCGGGGCCATTTTTTTTTTTTTTTTTTTTTTTTTAAACGGAGACGGAGAGCGGACGGGAATGGAGCGAGGAAGCTTGAGCCAGGCGGAGGGGGAGGGGAAGAGGAGGTGAGGACGTCCCAGGAAAAGTCGGAGAGGGCTACAAACTGGCGGGGACCGGGCGGCGGGGCTCGGCGGCGCGGAAGTGGGAGGAGAGTCTAGGGGAGGGGGAAAGGGGCCCGCGCCTCAAAGTTCCGCGTCCCGGCGGCGCCCGCGCTCTGGGGCTGCTCACCTAGCAGGAGTGTGGTCCAGGTCCGGCCGCGCCCCGCGCGCCGCAGGCCCAGCGCCCCGCGCAGCCCGGCCACCAGGCGCCCCCCGAGCCCGCCCCCGGCGGACGGCGCGGCGGGCTCGGCGCGGGGCCCCTTCCTGCCCGCGGCGCCCTTGCGCCCGGGGGACCGGGGCGCGCGCTCGGGCCCGGGCTCCCCGGCGCCGGCGTCCGGCGCCCCCCTCAGCGGCGACTGAGAGGCGCGGGGCGGCTGGGGCGGCTTGGGGGCCGCCTCTCGGTGCTTGTTCCGCGCCTGCAGGACCATCTTGGCATAGTCGCGCCCGCTCGCTGCGCGCGCCCGGACGGCGGCCGAGGAACGGCGGGCTGGCGGGGCGGCCCGGGCGCCGCTCACTCTCCCGCGGGCGGGCGGGCGGAGGGCGGGCCGTTCCCTCCCCGCGGGCCGGGAGGCGGGGAGAGCAGCAAGGCCGGGCGGCGGCTCCTTGCTTTGGCGGTACGGCCGGGAGGCGGCGCCGGACTCGCGAGCCCGCCGCCGTTGCCGCCGCTCCGGTTGTCACGGCGACCGCAGAACGCCGGGGGGCGGGGGCGGGAACACCCCGTGAGCGGCCACGGCCCCGCCCCCGCCGCCCCTCCGCGCCGGACGCGCGCTCCCGGCTGGCCAGCGCGCACGCGCGGACTTCCGGCGCGGGCGGGGTAAAACCTGGTGGCCGCCTCGCGACCCCCGCCCTGCTCCGAGCCCGCGTGGGGTTCTGTCGGGGCTCGGGCGCTGAACGCCTTCCGGGAGCGGCCGCCCCTCCCCCTGTGAGTGGTTGGGAGGAAGCAAGGGCCGTATCGGGGCGGGGGCTGTTGGCGAAGTTTGGGACCCCATTCAGGGTTCGCGTGGAGCCCCGCGAAGCCCGCGTGGCCCTGGCGGCTCGTGGCGGGAGTGGACCGGGCCGGGGAGGAGGCTCTCGGGAACGACCACGGGGGGCGCTGTGCCGGCGCTCTGCAGCCTCCGGGGCCCCTCCGCTGGGAGGCGAACGGAAAAGAGTCAGTGGTCTCCCGGACTCCACAGTGTGTGGTCTCGCTGCTAGGGGACGCCTCCCAGGGCGGCTCCCTCCACGGACTCGACCGACGGTGCAGCCCGATTTAAAATGGCAGCAGAATATCTCCGGGAAAGTGATAAGCGTGGAGGCACAAGTTTAAGTGTTTGCTTGACGTTGCAATCCTAAAGTGAAAACCATGGTGGGAACCCAGGTTGAAGGTGATCAAACTGAATGGCCCGAGAAGGAAAGATTATCAACAAGTATGTTCTGTAAGTTTCGCGTGCAGAGAAACTTTATTTGCTGATAAAATACAAAAGTTTAGTGAGAACGTATTTTCTCTAATAGATCACGGAATGCGTAAGTAAAGGAAGCCCAGCAAGGTTAAGAAAATCAGGCAAACCCCAGTTTCCCTCCTCCCTCTATTCCACCGAACTCCCAAATTCTTTGCACAAAGCCCTACAGCTTTATGGGTTAACTAAAAGATTTCCTACCTTGCAGTGTCCGGTGGGCTTGTTCCAGAAAGTTGTCCTTAAATCCCAATTATGTAAATCAAGTCACTTTTGATTATTTTCATTATAATTCCAGAGGCTTCACGTGGCTATGGATCCTACCCTTAAGTTGCTCCACTAAGTGACATCTTTATTAGGGAAGTTAATACAGACATCCATTCACTGTTAACGCCTTTTTAAGCGACAGAGAATTCTTTTGTAAAGAGAAAAAAACCGTTGCCATGCTAATTGGTAATCCCTCATACTCTGTATTTTGTGAATTAGGATTTACAGCTGTTGTTTTTATTGGAACAGGGAACAACTATTTTTAGACACTTTTTCAAAAAAGTGATTGCAGATGAAATCAGGGAATACTTGAATTCTTTTTTTTTTCCAATACTTGAATTCTGAAACAATGTGTTAGATGGATCCAATGTTGTCCTCTTGGATTAATTTTGAATTGATGATCAATTAGATTAAAAGTACCCTACTTCAGTGTCTGTTAAAGGTAATACAAATAATTCTTCACTAACTGTTTTTAATGGTTGGAAAAACACCTGGAAAAGGAAATTTAGTATTTGAACAACAGGATTACTTGTCTGTCTCCTATACATGGTAGGCTGGATTCAGGAACTGCCTCCCTTCAACTGGTACCATTTCACCCAAGAAAATATATGTTGAATGAATGAATGAGTAAATGAATGCAGGAAATGATATAATCAAATGATGATTGAAAACCCTGTGTTCTGTAGCGCAGTTGAAATCACCTTGTTTTAGCTCTCTCCTACAGTCTCAGATTTCTAGAGGACAGTCTTTTCTATTCAGTTTCATATTGAATAGAACCTAACCTGCAGAACCTAACCCAGAGCCTGACTATGGAAGTTTGTTGAATTGAATTAACAGAGGACACCTATATTGAAGACCCAGCCAGTGGATTTTGATCAAGTCCACAATGGCTGATGAGACCTCTTCTTTGCTTAGAGACCATGTAGAGAATCCCAGAGAGGAGCAGTGTGGGATATTGGTCGAAAACCTGGTGATTTTAGGCCAAAGTTCCAGCCTTTGGTCTGAAATGTGCCAGCCCTATGAGGTTGGCCAATTTCCTCATCCCTAAAATGGGGGTAATGAAAACATCTGTCCTACAGGTTTGTAAAAATTAAATTAGACAATGTATGTAAAGTATCTAATAATTACTTCCATCAGAGTAATTGGTCAGTAAGTGTTCAAAGCAATGGATAGTGAGTAAAGAAGATGGTAGGTCCTCTGCCCTCCCAGAGGCTGACAGTCTCTAATGGATGTGAGGAGGTGGGGGAGTAGATCACAGAAGAGCAAGGACAGCTGTGTGCTCTTTGGACCAGTCGTACACTGGATGTGATTCCAGCTTCTAAGCCACTTGAGGAGTTGACCTTCCCTGAGGTTCCTGCTTCCACACAAGCTCTACAAGTAATGCCCATGGGTGGGGCATTAAACCTGGATAAAACAGTACGCATATCCTCTTGCTCTTCCTCCCTCTATCCCAACCCCCAAAAAAGTATATTTCACACAGGGTAGGTGGTAGAGCAGAAACCAGAACAGTCATGGAAGGTTACATGCCAGATTTCATTTTGCATTTATCACAAGAGCCCGGAATGCACTGTATTCATATTTGTATCTTTAGGCCAGTGCCTGCCACATAGTGGTGGATGCTTTAAAAAACAAACAAACAAACAAACAAAAAACCCTGAAAGTTGCATTTTAAAAATTGTTGTGCACAGATGATCCCGTGAATCAATTAATGATTGTAATGAATATGGATTAATCATTATAGTCAGTGGCCACCTTTAATGTGCTTTTCTTTTTAAGAGTTACAGATGCAGCAGGAAGGTGCTTCCTTATGGGACATTATAGAAATACTGAGCCAGGGCAGACAGATTCCAACAGAGCAACCACTCATGAAGAATCCCTAGTCTGGTCCCCAGGATGCAAACCCAGTCCCTTTCTCACTAGAAGCTACACTTCGGGCATTTGAAATAAAAACTTCTACTTAAAAAAAATAATTTATAAAGACTTTGGGGATGGAGAGAGAGGTAATTAAAAAGGGGAAATGACCATAAAAGAGATGACAAGTAAATGCCCCAAAATAAAGCTTAACAATATTAAAATAAGCAACCAGGGAAACACGTTAAATAAGCAATGAAAAGAAAAATTTGGTCAAGGGAAGACTATGCTGAGAACAAGTTTCCTTATTTCTCTACACTGGCATTTTAAAGGCCCTTTAAAACTTTCTGATTTCCCCCATTTCCTCCCACTTGCTCTCTTGCCCACAGAGTGAAGCAAAAGGAGAATCTTGACTATGGCCTCTATTTTCTCATTTTCTTGGACTAGGTCACTTATCTCTTTACTGGAGAAGTGTCTTGGGGGTAAGTTCTAGATTTCTCAGCAGTAGCTCCTAACAGGAAGAACCTGCAAAATCCCAGCCCACTTTCCCAGAAGCCTAAAATGGGTGGGTGCAACAAAGTCTGTGTAACAGTCAACTTTCAGCAAAGCTCCAACATTAATTTGTCGGTGTGTTTTAATGTATGCCTTTAGTCTCTGGGGAGAACAAACGTAAATTGCTACTTTATTGTTTTTCAGATTTTATCTTCCCTCTTTCTGGTAGCTGACCTTGTAATTCAAACTGTTTCTGCTCAAATGGAGTGTTCCCGGGAAACTCAGGGAGCGCATTATTAGTTCTACTTACGGGGCATCGTGGAGAACCACTCAGGCTCAGAGGTGCATGTTTCCCTAAACTGCAGGTCCTGTTGCTGAGGGCTTGCTGTGTCCTTGGTGCCTTAGTAGACATTACAGACATTAAAAATTCATATACTAAGTCTCCATCCCCAAAGGGTTTACAGCTTAGTTAGAGACACAGGGTAAGCTAGAACGAAATGTAGTTCTGTAGGAAAATATGTGATCCAGAGTGTAAGTACTGAAAGAGCTCCAAAGAGAAGAGCCCATGGCTGACATGACTGGAGAGTTCACAGGAAGGAGGAGAAACTGGGTCTAGGCCTTGTGGGAATAATAGATTTTGTTTGAACGGAAGGAAACACGGAGAAGGCATTACAGGTGGGGAATAGCGTGTTTTGAAACCCTATGTGGCTGATAGGCTGTATAGTAGGTACTAATAGGAACATCTTAAGACCTTTCAGAGTGAGGAAGGGAAGAAACAGCTAATGTAAGTATCAGGAATAAATAGATGGATTAAAGAGTGAATAAATGAAGTAATGATTGGAGTATGACATGCCCAGGCACCCCAACATGGTTTTTGGCTCTCAAAGCCCCATAGATCTATCTAGACCCAACCAGGCTCCTCCCTGAAGGATGCTAAGCAACCCTCACACCCAGGGGCCTTAGAAATACTGAGAGCCAATGAATTCCACCCCCAGGCTCTGATTTGGGCCAGGAGTTACTCTCGTCTGGCAGGACTCTGGTGACCCCTAGCCAGAACACTGAGTCTGTCACCTGCTTCCAGCCACAGATCAGGTAGGGGACTGACTTAGACTCCTGTCTCAAGGCTCCAGGGGAAGCACCTGGATGCATTGCACAATTTTGCCTTTCACCCCTAAACTGTTGCCTCTACCCAACCTTACCTTGTGCTCCTTGAGGCCATCAGTCCATCCCTGATACACTCCGTTCTTGTCAGTAGTCTCCAGAAGCCCCTTCTGCAACAGGTTCATACCTGACAAGGCCACCCCTTCTCTCCCCCAGAGCTCCTTTCTGCCTCCTGGAGAGCTTCTCCGAACTCCAAGGCAGCTCCACCCTTTGTCATAGCTGTCCTCCATGGGCATAACTCTAGCCCTGGCTCCAATCTGCTCAGTTCCTTCCAGTGCTCTGAGGGACTACACCACCTGTCTAACAACACCCAGCCCCTCAG